TTCACGTATAATTCTATGTGATGGAACTCAGAGAGCTCAGCATATCGACGACGCAAGTCACTATATAAGTGCTGAGATATATCCGCTATATACGATATGCTGAGCTGCTCAGTCATTCAAAAACTTATGTTCGAGAACATCTTAACTGAGTCTACTGCGAACAAAATTTGTTCCACTCTAACAGCAATTAGCACATGAATGAGTCAGTGTGACGGTTAGTGCGAGAGAGACAATTAATATCAATACGTTTCACGCAATATTTTTCACAGGCACATTCGATTTGTTCCCTTGCACCGGCGCTGCAATGTTTGGTTCTCAACCTCACTTTTATGGAGCTGATCCTGCGCTTCGCGCCAATTTCGCATCCGGTATTGAACCGAGTAAGGATAAACATGCAATTTTCATGCATTTCGAAATGGTGAGTCAACTGATTTCGGTCTCTTTGTTATGATTTTGTTGACAAAATGATCACGTTCTTCAGCGAGATAAGAAACTCTCTTCTTGTCCAATTTTGACATTTTTTTTTTTGTAAATTCAGCCATTATCTTGGCGATGTTAAAAGCCTATCTCCACTTCGAGTGACGATTTTTTTAACTACAAGTTATTTCTTCCAATTTTTGCGATTTGGTGCAGATAGGTCTTAAATGAATAAATATATAAAACTGATAAACATCATTTGATCATTCAATATCTAGCTCACAGGAACGCCGGTATACGCTGCAAAGGTTGGTTTTTCACATTTAAAGTATTTTTTGTTCATTCGAAACCTTTATTCCTTTCGATTTGGGCTGTTTTATTCTTCGTTTTAAATGCCGTTTACAATTATTTAATCCTTTGCTTCGTTTAATCTTTTCTCTAAAAATGTGTCCGAATGATGACCATGGCATTTTAATTGTCTGCCGCAAAGAGATTACAATTCAATTTGGAGATGGTTCCAATCGAAGATGTTCCTTACTTAACCGACATACGTGAAATGTACTATCCATTGTTCTGGGTTGAGGAAGGAGCTGCCCTGGACGAGGATTTTGTAAAGCAAATCAAACCTGTACCCATGTAAGTACTATATTTGAGAGTTGATGACATAGTGGCCCGGACGGACAGCATGCTTCTGTGTTTGTATTACATTAAAGTATGCTGTCCGTCTGGGGCGTTATGACCGCCACAGCGGATTTTTTTTCTCGCAAAAGTCGAAGCAAAATTCATTTTCAACAATTACATCAACATTCTTTGCTTTTTCTCGTTGAATAGGGTTTATAAAATCTTCAAAATCTTGAAATGGACGGGATTGGTACTTGGTTTCATCGGGATCATTCTTTCTGGCATTTTGTTTACAATCAAACAGAACGCCGCCAAAGCTGCAGCAGCAGCTCCCAGTCCCATGAATATTGATGTTAAATCTATAGAAAAGTCCTTAAACTAATCAATGATTAGACAAATACAATTTCAAACAATTATACGCTTAGCATTGGTATTAAATTTGGATTACCGATTGTGATGTTTTGATGTTTTTTTTGTTGGCCCCATTTAACCGTTTAAATGTGAGTAACGAGTTTTTCGATCTAAAAATGGACATTTTTCAACATTTTTCCTACGAACGAGGCAATAACATGAAAATGGCAAAACATATATGTTTGATGTTTATATTGCAAGAAAAACGTTAAATGAAAAACGGATAGTTCAATAGAAATTCTATATTTTTAAAAAAAATGTGTTGATGTGTGATGGAACAGCATATCCAATTAAAAGCCTTTATCATATAAAATGTTACTATCATCCATATGCGATTGCTTGAACGCGACTGGTTCTTCTTTTTCACACTACGGATGCCGCCATTGTTGTAAAAATGTTGAAAAATGAGTGCGTTTAATAAAATACCAATTTCCGCGTAAGGC